GAGTGATCGACGAAAGGAATGTAAACAAGCGGAGACTTGTTGCGCGTAAAGAGAATACAATCTATTTTCTACACGGTGGAGAAGAGCCTCGAGGTACCGATATGATGGAGTGCTAAGGAGATTGGCGGACCACCGGAGTAATGTCCGCACTAATAGCAGTGATTACCCTGCCTTGTTGAGAACGAATCCGCCCGCTCCTTCCAGACTGCCTGTTGTTCAGGCTCTGCCCTGTTTTGCCTCACGGTGCCCTGCCCACGAATTGATGGATGTTTACCAAACTAACTGCCTGCTATCCATGGCAGCCTGGCCGTCGGGCATGAGCTACCATAACGTCGAATTCCGTCAAAATCTTTCGCCCGATCAACCCCTCTTCAACCGAGCATCGATGTACAAATTTTTAAACACAGCATCGATTCATAGAATAACCAGCTTTCAAAGTTAAATTAGTATATAATATAAATTAATTAACATGTTAACAGGGGTATCAAATTCGACCCGACAGGCTGCAGAAACAATTTCGAAAAAAAGAAAGAAGAAGGAAAAGAAAATAATCAGCTCGAAAGTATCGTTCGTGATTTCAAGCAATTATAGTGCATGTACCAGGCTCGTTACCAACGGCGATGAATGGCAAAGCAGGTTATATTGAATTCAGGGAATAAGAGATTACGATCCAGCGTGCAACTGGCCAACGAGTACCTACGATTTATCGACGTGTGCCGTTGATCCAGAGATCGACAGATAACACGGGGAAACACTATCGGAACGAAATACGATTGCATTCTCAATGGCAATGTTTACGAGCTCGTGTATACGATTTTTCGAATCGGATATAATTGCGGTTGCATTATTGCCAGCGTTACATTCGCGATATATCAAACGGCAAATTTCATGCATATGCATCGCTGTGGAAGGGCATAATCGCATAACATTAAATCGGTGCTCATTCACGGTTACTTTCCCGCCTTCTTGCCATTTCTCTTCGCTCTCTCCTCGGGGTGCGCACACGCCCCCTTTACCGATTATTCTTTCCTACGTCTGTATTTCGTTTCCCCATGAAACGCAACGAGCTGCGCTGCACGCTAATTTGTTAATCAACCGTTGCGAAGTATTTTATTAGATGTAACGAGGTGAAATTGAATGAAAAGTAGCGCGAATGACGCATTGCTGTTCGAATAGAAGGGATAGCGTTTCCGAAAGCGTTTCTATCTCGCGTTTAAATCACCGCGTTACGAAAAGCGGCGATCAATCGCTCCGCAACTTGTCACTCGCGATAAGCCTGTTACGCCGTCAATGAATACGATATCTGGATATCTTATTAATTAAAAAAAGAAAGCTCTGGACCAGAGCATTTTGCATATATCAATGAGTAAACGCAGGAACTGGTTAACGAACCACACCCAGTAATCACTAGTTATCTAAAATGATGTATGACACAACGATCGCATTGAACTAACAATTAACCTTGCGTAGACAGACAGACCACTAAATTTTTTAATTTATCAATTCAATGAAACATTTACATTACGTCATTATCGATAAGTTCTATACTTTTGATCGGTAGCGTTGGCTACATGTATTTTTGAAAATTTGTAAACAGGAAGAACTACGTGTAAAAATAAGATAGTTGATTTATTGGAAATAAAATTACCAGCTGAAAGGATGTTCCACGATTTTAACACGATACTCAGTGTTAATTGAGAAGAAAACCGGTGAGCCTGGAGTCTTTATCTCGAGGAAAAGTAAGCCTTAATATCCTCTCTATCCATAAATCGAAAATCTTTACTCGGTTATGATGTACGACCGTGTAACTGGTTGTCTGATAAACGATCCTACGTTTCACGATTTTTCGCGATATTGTACTCCCGTTAATGGCATCTTGCTCGCCAATGAGTATTCACCAACGTACGCCACAGACCACCTGTCCGATGGTTCTGTTCTCCCTCTTGCTTACTCTCCCCTCGATTAACCCTTTCGTCCTCCTCGTACCGCATAAGTATCCCGTGGGGATGCTCGCAGCGTGTGTCTGCGATAACTATAGCACGGACCTGGGAAGCTTTAGGCGCCAGCAGGTTTCCAGAAAAATTCGAATTGCTCGAGAGTCGCTCCAACCGCGAGTTTAATGTCTCCTCTACGATCCACCCCTTGGAAATCTTGAGCAATTATATTCGCCAAAAAAAAAGACTTTATCGCGTAGTTTGGAAAAGCATAGCTAAGAAAGAGATATTGGAAAGGTAGTCGAATGAATCTCGACTCTCCGTGCGTGTCTGAAAGTGCAGCAATTACCGAGCTGCCTGTTTTCACGAAACCCACGAATCGTGCAAACCGTGCAAACAAGCTGAAAAGATGTAATAATCGTGTACAAGTAGAGTTTGAAGAATCGCCCGGTGCATTTATGTACATTTTTCAAAGCTCTTAGAAACTGCAACTCCGTTTAACAGATTGAAACTCGATTTAGTTGCACGTTGCATAACACGCGAATCTTTAGTTAAACTGCAAACAGTCTTAACCCTTCGAACGTGTGTATCGTAGGTAGAATCGACTGGAGGGGTTAATTACTACTCTAAAATGCGACTCGACTGCGCAAAAGGACAAACAGAAATGGTAAGAGAATAAAAAATGAAAGCGTACGATTTCGGATCAATGGGAGTTTCGATTCGAGGCTGAGAGAAAGGAAGAGCGAGCCGCAGATACGAAACTCGAAGGAGCTCGGGGTGCAACGGTCCATTATTTGTTTTAGATATTAATGTTCCTCGTGGACGATCAATAATTTACCTTGGACGTAATCGCACGGTGTGCATCCTCTATCTCTAGCGCGGAACCCGTTGAAACAGAGAGGGACAGGCGCGGATGGAGGAGGACAGAGGTAGCCGAGAGAAAGGAGACCCGTGTAAACAATAAATCACGATAAATACGTTTGGTCTGAACCATTATAAGAGCTGCAAGGAGGGAGGAATCGACGCGATCGGCGAAGAGGAGGCCAGCCGAAGCTAGTGAACCAAGTGTTCACCGATATGCAGTCCCACCCTGGGGCCACTCCCGTTGCAACCTCTACCACGGCTACGTATTACGATCGCTTAAGTCTCCACTCGACTATCGAGTGATCCATCGCCTACGAATTCGACGAAACCTCCCGCCTACCCTCGGGACATCCTCGACTAATGAGCGTGTCTCGATCGTGAACAAGACTAGCCTCTCCTCTCTCTCATATTTCTACCTTTTCACTCTTCTTTCGTTTTGCTTCACTTTTTCTCTTTCTTTACTTCTATTCGAATATTCCAACTTACAGCATTGGCGTAAGTAACAATTTTTTTTTGAGGCAGACCAAGTGCTCTGATTTGATCAAAAAGGGCAAACATCTAACGTTGTTTAATTGTTATTTATAATTCAATGTATTAAGAATATTATTGTATATTTTCTGATAGAAAGTTAGTATATATTTCAAGAAGAGCTAGGTCTATCCTGGGCTCTACCTTACGCCTATGATTTCCAGGTGTGCTCAGTTTCGGTTTAAAAAGGATTCCAATTAAAAGCCCAAACAAGCTCGTGCTCCTATTCACGGCCAGCTCGTCTGGCTGAGATATATCGAAGACGACAGGTGGACACGACGAAATCGTCGTGAATTCCTGACGACCCTGGAACCGGCGAGGTGACTTCGCTCCTCTTCGACTTTTCCGTGTTCGAAATCGAACGAAATAGTTAAATCAAATTGTGTTGCTCGAAATATATTTAAATGTCACTTTCCTCGTATTCGAAGAAACTAAATTGCATCACATTGGTTATTCAACATTCGATCCTACATTGAATTCCTTTATACGGATCAAGATCTTCAGCTTCGAAACAGAATACGCAATTTCAATCCTCATTTTCCTTGGCGCCTGCTTATGAAATGCAAAGCTTTCCAGCCACTTCTATAAATACTTAAGAAGGAATTCGATCGACGAGATATACCATTCGTTAGCCATCAGTTGGCGAAGAACCGCATAAACAGAACTCCATGGAGTGGACGTGCAATAGTTACTAGATAGCTAGTTCGAGTGCATTCCTGAAGAGTGCTGTCTATTCACCTATGCCACCGACGTGTGCTCAGTACGTGGCAGCAACGATATGGAAATATGAAGAGAAAGAGAGATAGAAAAGTGGGTAGGCAGATACCGGACCCCGCGGGGGGCTCATAATTGCCGACCCTGAAGATCGACCGACCCCATGGGGCCCTTCTCTGTTTGTTTTATTCCCTAGTTATACAAACGCGAGATCTACGACCGATATATGATAATCGGGCCCCTCTAGTCCTCTCAGCCTCCTCTCTCGATCCTTACATCTCGCTCTCTTACTCTCCTTCATTCTATCTTTTTTTCTCTTTTTTTCCTTCAACGACCACCTTCGCGAAACGTGACTACATTATGGACGCTGATAGACAAGGACACGTCCGAACCAATTCGAACACCGGCCAACTTATGCGGGATCGGTATCGTGGAAGCTTTCGCCACGTCTCATCGCTTACGACTCGCATTTATTTAAACATCCCGTTGCAAGAATTATGATTGACCCCCAGACTAGATCGCTATTTTTTCTTGTTCACACAAAAAATAGGGAAACTAAAAAGTAACAGGTTCTATGTAAAAAAACGTGTTCGAGCCTGGTCCTAGACTTCGACGAGGGACAGCGTTATCTGTGAGGACGACCAGTGACTATATTTCAAAGAGATAGCTTCGCGAATGCAACAAGTTGCTCCAAATGCATGTAATAGACGGTATCTTAACGCGGAGGTAACTGACACGGTGATTAATTATTAAGATTGCCTGTGACAAGTGATAAATGCAAGGCAAGGAAGTACAGTTGCGAAATGTGACGAATGTTGCTCGAATTCCTGATCACCTTTTTGCGGTTCGAAATGGTATATAAAAGGTATATAAAACGCGTTAGAATATTATTTATCAGAAGCTTCCCATTATATCACCGTTCAAGATCTCAATCGTATATTAACAGTTTCGTGTACTTACCTCACTGTCGATCTTCTTGAACTCCGGGTCATCCTCGTCTACCTCGAAGTACAGTTCCGTGGACGTGACGGAGATAATACCAGGAGCCACGATACCAGGAGCGATCAATTTCCCTTTCGTGCTGATGTTCACCGGGCCTGACGGAACACGATCTCGTTATAATCCTTAGATGCATGGCACCGGCGAAACGATTCGCTGGAAAGCCCCGTGCAAGATTGAAAGGAAATGAAATTAAAGGAAATATCCAACCTGTCAGGTCGTTGTCGAGGTCTCTGTCGTCCGACAACAGTTCGCTGTCGTCCATCAGATCCGCCGACTGCAATTGCTGCTGATGTGCACGCGAGGCTGCGAGATGCGCGTGAAACTCTTCACGCGCTTGCAGTATCGCATCCTCGGGTGCACCATGTTCGAGTGCCGCCTTCAGTGTAGCTTCGGGATGGCTCGAGCCTAGTGGATTGTGCACGAAACGCTTACGTCTACGTGCATCATCCTCCCAAGCATCTAGCTTCCAGTATTCGGCCAACCTGTGTTACAATCGTACAAATCATTGTAGGGATTTTCAAGTTTACCAGCGCATCCCTAGAAATTCCTAATCGCTTACTTTGCAGCCATTGGATCCATGTAACCCCAAGCGCCATGTTTGTTAGACAGGATATTTCGGACTTTCTCCAGCAATCTGCTCGCGATTACATTGTCCCGTCTTCGAGCTGCGGTGATCAAATGATCGCACATTCGTTCCTCTTCCCGTCGGTCGAGCAACGTCTGAGCGCACTGCGACTGAGACAGGAATATCAACATGAGCAGCATTACTTTTAGTTACAACATCGTACGTCTAGTTCAATAAGGAAACACAAAGCTGTACGGAGTGAAAATAAGAATAGATGAACAGGTACCTCGAAGTCAGCGTGTTTCAGTACATCGTCGGCTCGCATGCGATTCAGGATGAACTCGGCCTCGTTGGCGACTCTCACTATATGATCCTTCATCGCGTGTGACAGTAATCTGTGCATAACATAAACGTGAACTTTTTACGATAGAGAACGAGAGACGTTCAGCCACGGTTTACTACACGAGGTTGTAACTCTGTCGTTCCAACGATGATCATAACGAGACCTTCTTACCTTCCCTCGTTAATGAGCTCGATGAAAGCGAGGCCCGCGTGTTTCTGCAACGAGTTCTGCCATTCTTGGGAACAGAGTAGCATCACTAATTCCACCACGGAGTTGCTGTTTTTGAAGGTGGTCAGACCTAGCAACGGGGGGAGAGAAAAACGAATCATTAAGAGACGATGGAACGGGAAGGTTGAGCAAAGCTAAACGAAGCTGTAAATGGTTTGAATTTTTTTATAAAATGCATCAGATTAGAAGGGAAGAGTAAGCAGTAATGGATCCAGAATTATTATTCATAATTATTCAAGAGTTATGAAATCTTGGATTAAGATTTAAAAATTACTTTTGCACATTTTCTCCTTCGCATGCAAGGTTTCTGGATCCGTCCCTGATGGTAAGAGAGAAATAGAATAGACATAGACGTTCGAGTGATTTATAAACGACGTTCAATGTATCGTTTCGAGCGTTGTTAAAAATAAAAGTGCATCGATGCGTGGTACGATCGTCATTCGCTACGTTCCACGAATATATAAAATCCTCGCGAAGTGCCGCGGACCGTGCGTCTACCGTGAATACAAATGCTCGACACGACCATCCGGAATACGTCTTCCATCTTTCTAAGCGAAACCATAAAGTGACTAATTTGAATACATTCAGCGCGATGAACCGAAACGAACAAAAAAGAACGGAAGGTGCAGAAACGACAGAATCTTGTCACGATAAATGTGACGAAGAATTTGCTGGATTTCTGGAAACGGTGTTGAAAAAAAAAATCTTCAGGAATTTCCATATTCGTAATGGTTACACGAGTTTTGAATAATGCAATAGGGATAAATTTTCTCACGCGTATATCTATAAAAAAAGGTGCCATTAATTAAACTACACTTAAAAAAAAAGTACAAATTACTGGGATATTGATTAATTAGGGATTAAAATAAGGTAATTTAATTACACTTTTCTTTGGATTCAAATGGTCCTCTACTATACTTAATATTCATGCTACTAAAAAACCCATTAACCTTCCAACACCACCATTACACTCGAATCAATCTCTCCAACTATTTACGTCACAATTTTCAAACACATTTGCACCAATGTTAGAAAGCGTACATACATTGAATATGCAAGTTGATCGATCCACCAGTTACTTACGACCCCTACCTTTTCCCTCCATTAACAATTCCTGTCCATGAGAGCCGACCAGGGTTTTCGACAGGAACGGAGCGAAATCTACCATGATTTCTCTCAAAAGCGGGCACACAGAGCCGAGTGCCATTTCTAGCTTCTGTGTAAGGGATGCTTCGCGCGATGGCGTAGGAACCGGCAAATGATCGACCAAACCTTTGATCGGTAAATCATCCGGTCTCGGTGACGCGGAAGTCATCACTAGCCTATCCGGAACGCGAACTACAGAGATTTCTGCGGATGGTTTCTCACCACGTTCGGCGTTACCAAGCATCTCTTGATCCAGAACGTTACCTTCGTTGTCTTGCATGTCACCTACGTATCAAATCAATATAAAATGTTAAACACCCATGATAAAAAAAAAAAAGAATACACGTTCTTTCTGGGATATAAGGAAAGAGTTTTTACCACGAGAATGAGTCATATTGTGAATATTTCGTGGATCTTCTCTTTGATTCGTCATCGGAATCGTGTCTCCATCTTCGTTGAGGTTCACATCGGTCCAAGCTTCCTCAGAAGAGTTATGTTTATTCTCATTATCAGTTGTAACCTCTGATGGGCTGGGATCAGCAGTAATATTGCTTCTATGTACCGTATCTTCACTGGAGTCGTTGCTCTAAGAGAAAGTAGAATTTAAGTTATGCAAATCAGAGTCACGATTATCGTGCTCGTAAACGCTTAAAAAATAATTAAACGTATAAACTCGTAGGAGTTTAGCAGGATTTTTAAAAAAAGATTTAATAATCTCTTTTCTCCTTTGTAATCGTTAAGATCCATGTAAAGTTGATTCATGTGAAAGTGTATCAAAGTGTGTTCGATTAAGTTACTTTAAATCAAGGTAATCTGTACTACCGCTACATTGGCTACGATACTTAATACTGTCTCTAACGAAAGCCTAGCTTTCGTTCAACACACTAATCGTTAAGTTCTATAACAATCTTAGGAACGTTTTAATTGTAGGAATCAAACGGTATATACTCTGCGGTTAAATATCGCGTGCTATGCATTTACCTGACGTCATGCAATTAATCGTACACCACTAAAACGCAATCACCTAATACTTAGTAAACAAGGAATAGAAGCTTCGTAGATTCTCAAGTTACCACGGCGAACATGATATCGTAACAATTATACTGTTACATAAAAATATTTGAACAGCAATAAATTTAGCTTCTGATTGCAGGAACCAAGTACTTAACGATTTCACATTATGTTTTGCTATTCTAATACTTTTATGTACCCATGTAAATTACGTTCATCAACCGTACGTAACGAAAATACAGCTACGTAGAAAAAATTTACGTGATTAAACACCGTAAATAAAAAACACGAATTGATTCCTTCTTTTAATGTGGTTTCCTATCTTCATTGAATACTCGTCGAATGGGCATTCCTACGTGCCGTCGTTGCGTCTTCTTGCTTTTCAATAAAAAAAATTGTTTAAAAAAGTATCGTTTGAAATCGCATTTCGAACGCTTCCAAAACGTGGACGATCGTCGAGAGATTATTTCATGAAGGTACAGAGAAAGGTGTCTCTTTAATTAACATCTTCCGTGTCCATACTGAAAGTGAAATTTTACCTGGATATTTCGTGGCAGTGGTTCGGTTCTTGTCGAAGAGCCAAGCGTTGGTTCTGACGAGGTGTAATCCTCGAGAATTGTCCGTGGCCGAGGTACACCACTGTGACCTCCCTTCAGAACCAGTAGTTAGTACGCATAGCAATGCAAGCAGAGGAAGTTAACGATGAGAAAAATTTAAACAGTAAAAGTATCGCATGCTTCAGAGAATTAAAGAATTGATCAATTACAAGATAGACCTACTATCGTCAAGTATAGAGAGATATGTACACGTACGAGTTAAGTTTAACCCCTTTGATTCGACGCTTCTTAGGATGAACAGAAATAGTTCAATAAAAATATTTACAATTTTAAGCAACAACTGAATTCATAATAATTATTTAAATATTTGAGGGATGATGCAGCCGGCTCAAAGGAGTTCTATATCCTGAATTCTTTAACGTGAGGTAACAATTAAAAGGATAATGATAAAAAGAGATTAATTTTGATACTGAATGGGAAAAATTCCTCCACATTGTTAATCTGTACATTTTTACACCTTTTTTAAATTATATAATAACTTAAGGTACGTTTTGTACGACTAACGCTACCTAGTAGAGGACAAAGAAATGAAAGAGGAAGATTACTTTATTTCGGGAAATAAGCGACTTTAGTTAATTATTTGAACAAGAGGTGCAGAATAGACCCCCACCATTTTCGAATCACATTCTGTTATACCAACTTCGATTGGTAGCACTCTTATTGATAGAAATTAAACGTAAAAATACTTATTATTTTAAATAACGAACAAAATATTTCTACTCTTATTAAGCGTTTTTCCATTTCGTTCCAAAGTCGATCACTTTCCACCTTCATCCTTTTTAATAAACTTCACGTGCGAGAATAAAACTTTATATATTACATTTTAAATATATAATTACTCTGATCTACATAAGTGCAAAGGAACATATGTAGTTAAGTACCGTATTAATTAAACACTACATGCTGGATTAAATAGATACTGTTACATAATTAAATCAAAGTATTATACCGGGGTTGTCTAATCTATAAGACTACTTAAAATAAGAACTACATCTAAAGAGAACTTCCTTTTCAAACTAATCAAATATTTTTATTTCCATCGTTAAAGATCTACTTTTCGTTATTAAAGCTATCAGTACTCGGGATGCATGCAATTCTTAGTCGACGTATTAAAAGAAACATTTTAATAGAGAAACGTGGATGTTGGGACTTAAAGTATCCACAAGAGAAGAATTGAAAAGTGATAGTTGAACAAACTTATATGCAAAGCGCATCGCGTAGGCAGAGTGTGCCGATTTCATTAGAATCGTGCGTGATAAATATGTGCAAAAGTTACGTAAAGGTATTATCGAAAATTTTTCAATATGTACATCGCAATATATATATACCAAGATCATGATTTTTAAAAGGATCACCTCGTTATTTAAGAAACATATATAATTATGTTACTCGATAAAAAATAGCATGCAGTTTCAAAGAATCAAAAATCTTTACGAGTACCGATGTTTCGTTTATCGAAAACCTTTCAATGAAACTTTTACTATTATCCTCGTTTTATGGACAGTATCAAGAAGAGATTCGCAAGACCATTTTACCTGAGAATAATGCATCAATTAATCCCAATGTACGCACAGGTAGATCTTTTACGTTGCACGTTTCAATGAAGCACGATAAGAATTGAATCTTATCGAAGATACAAGAAGACGAAGGGAAATGATTGGTTGATCACTTACCTTTGTCGAAGGAGGACCGGAGGATGTGACGTCGTGATCTGCCAGGATCGATGAATTATTCTCGTCGACGATTATTACTTCGTATTCACCGTCGTCCTGAGAACCAGCCTGGCTCATAATACCTCCGCTTCCTGAGAACATAATTGAAAAACGTGATAATGTATTCTAATTACATGTAGAGAAACATTCTCTTGCTAAGCAGGCTGACATGAACGACGATGCGATCGACGATTTAAAGATTTCAGAATCTAACAAGTTTCTGAAATTTAAGATTAAACGCAGAAGCTATATTTTAATATCTCATTTTTGCTTTTATTTCATTTTATTTCGACGTTAAGTTAAGATAATACGTCGATCGCATTATGTAGGAAAGGAGATGCATTGTAGTGCAGGAACTCAAAACGGAAAGGAACAAACGAAGCATAATAGGAATTTAATTAAAGCATTCAAAAATGTTTATTCGAAGTTCGAGGAAACAATTGTTAACCATTTTAGTTAAAATTATGCATTTTCTTCTATTTTGATAATCAAACTTGCGTTTCCTTTCTCTTCAAACAATCTCATAAAATCATACTTGACTGCAATAAACGTAAGAAAATTATAACAAACTTCTCGAATGCATCAAAGTGGCAAACTTTGGAAGAACCAGAGCTTTGATCAAAGCTTCATTAATTAATTTTCTTATAGCGCTTCATCGTTTTACTTTCAACAAGTTCATACAGCAATGTTAAGGTTTCGTATCACTTAACAATAATTTCTTTATTTTCAAGAATGAAAGAAATCCTGTTAACGAAGTTTGCGTAATTGGGTTACAATTTTGAACAGACATGCAGACTAGCTGGTTTATTTGCAAATTGTATGCAAGTTACATATCTTTCATTCGCGATTCATGTGCGTTAAGCTTTCGAAAAACACTCGGTATATCTAATGAAAAAATATAGCAACAAACGTATTGCAGTAAGTTTTTTAGACAGCACTTTTAAAGAACAAAATGGTTCTTCAATCTCATCTTCCTCTTTTGCAAGCAATTAACATAATCATAACCAAACGTTCATGTAAGTTTCAATAAATTTATAACAGGAACAAAAGAAAATTGTAACGTAGGAACAAATAATTCTATCAAAAATCCATTGAAAAGAAGAAAGAACTCCACTTCTGCCGAATAAAAAATCAGAACGATGCTAGTGTGTATATGTGCGTGCACGTGTAAGTGTATGTATATGTGTACAGATCATACAACGAGGTGGTTGAATTTCTTTAAGGCCCTTGGTGAACGAGAGCATGCAGACAAAAATATTAACGGGTCAAGACCGCGGAAACTGAAGAAAAATAAGGAAGTCGAAAAAAAGATGGTATTGATAGTTCGCTTGCGGTCGAGTTAAGGCGGGATTTTCTATAAACGCATAAATCTACTCTTTCAGCTAGAAAACTGAAAAAAAAAAAAATGGCAGATCTACTTTTCTATTCAAAACCTATTTTTCCAGTGAACCTATTCCTCTTTATACAAGACATCTAGCTTTCCCTAAGTTCTCTTAAAATCAAAAGCAAATTCTAGGAGGCTCCTCTCTACCCTTACCCTTAATCAAAGGAAAACTTACGTTAAACCCCGGGTAAATTTTCTCTGTAATCGTAACCTTATAGGAAATCCCACTTTTAAACGACAGATAAAAATCGAGCAGGCGAAAGAAATAAAAAAGAAAAGAAGTCGAGCATTCCGTGGAACACAACGTTCGGGCAATCGAGTTACCTTGCAGACCAACACCGGAGTTTCTATGACAGAGATTTCGGGGCTGATCGATATGCTTTTGAAGCGTATGATGGTGATTGTTGTTATTGTGATGATGGTAATGATGATGACGATGATAGTTATGGTTATTCGGATGATGGTTGTAATGATTACTGTGGTGATTCGGGAGATAATAGTTGGAGGGGGGCTGGCGATTAGAGTGCCTGGCAGCCGGTAGCGGGTGCTGGTGGTGGTGCTGGTTCATATGGTGGTTGGCATTGGCATTGGCATTCGCATTGGCGTTAGGGTGAGATCCCGGGAGGAACTGTGGGTACACGTGGTGAGACCACTGTGGAAACAGGGGCCGCCCTCCTCCACCACCATTCCCATCTGCTGAGGAACCACATTTACCACGTTACCACGATTCTCGACCATAAACCCCTTCTTTCTATCGTGCCTCTTTTTATTCTTTCTATCATGTGTCTGATCGTGTGTCAGCTTAGACTTCTTACTGGGTTTCACTCTAACCGCTACGTAAGCATTTACTCAAGCTGTTAGACTACTGTGGTAATAGATCATAAAATCAAAATTCGGAAATAATGATACTTTTTTGCTTTAGAGAGATTTCACCTAAACCGAGGGTTCATAGGGCTGGATATAAAAAAATAAGGATTATACTAAATGAAATAGACTACGATTAAGAACTCTAGCATTACATAAATTTTTACAATTTTACAGTTATAGTAAATATTTCTGTTGAAAATATTCAACTCGAGACATTAGACTTAATTTGGGTCATTATATGTTAAATGTAATGCTGATGATGATGTTGATGGTAATATATGCTGTATGTTATTATTGAAAATTTATATTGAAATATAATTATTTCTTAGCTGAATTATTAGGTCTGAATTGTTAAGTATGAAATGTCCGATTTTCTTCAGCTTCTTAACCTTACCGATTTGTTTCAAGCGGTTTAATATTGTTGAATACTAACGTCAAACCTTGCTGCTAATTCACGTGTAGTTTAAGATGTATCCGCTTCCACTGCAATTTTCAGCTCATCGTTATCCACCTTGTTCTCAGGTCGTCCGCGTGCTCCATTTTGAAAATCAAAATCGGCAGATCGGAATTTCTCAAACCATCGACATACTGTACGTTCATTAACCACATCTTTGCCAAACACTTCGTTGACACTTCGAGGTGTTTGCGCTATACACGACGGAATTTATATTCGAAAGTAACGCGAATTTTTGACATAACTATGGTTTACAGAATTTAATCTGCAAAAGGCAGTTTGACAGATAATCACAAACCGAAACGTGCGCCTGAAAGACTAAAGACGAACTAAGACTAAAGACATCAGGTGTCGAACTCGATACTTTAGGTAATCGGACATTTCATATTTAATGACCTAATACTTATTTTTAGAGACAAGAACGAAGGCTATTTTTTATTTGAAAGTCCATTTTAATAAATAAATGGAATATTAATATGGAATTTTTTCTGACAAGCGTAGTACTTTTTGAAACAGAAATCAGTTGGCGCCTCTTGCTATGGCAGTGCCATTGGAGTATGGAGTAATAGTTTAACGTTTCTGTTTGCAAAGTCATACTTATTAACAATCTTTTGTGTTTGTATCAATTGTTTAGTGAAGTATTTTATTTTGTACAAAATTTTTTAAGTGAAAGTGTAAGTTTCCTTGAAAATTCATCTGCATCAGGTGCCAAATAATTGCTTGTTAAGGTAAGAAGAAAAATTGATGTTGCTTGAGAAATTTACTATAAGAATAAACATTATTTTAATTTTAAAAATATTACTAAATAGAGTGAAACTCAGTAATGATGAGACAATATTGAATTTCTACTAGAAACAGCTATATTATTCTGTTGTTTGATAGAAAAGTGTAATATTAAATTTTGGAGCATCACACAGTTGAAAGACAATACACATTATTATATTTAAAACATTTACATAATTAATGTAGGTTATCTTCAATTCTCTTGTAATAAATTTTTTTCAATTCATTTTTCATAATTCAATTCTATATGTTATAATAAAAAATAACAGTGATATGAAAAAATATGTTTGAACTCAACAAAAAGTGCTGATACATTCAACAAACATCAAAACTCTCACTGTCAGATACATATAACAATAGTTCATACAGTGCAATTGATCATGCTCTCTATTTAGTGTGGTGTGCTGCTTTTGACTTGTTGCTACACAGTTAAAGTGCACAGTGTTCCATAGTAACTACATATTTGTGTACACATTTATATCATATGTAACATTTTTATTTGATTTGGTTTTTTAATTGTTTTTTAATTATTATATCAGTTCATGAATTTTACAATTTCGTTTACAGTAATAAATATCATCAATAAATGTAGCAAAAAACTTTTCTCTTGTGTATCTAATTATGTGTTGTATTTTAAGTTATTCGTAGTTAATAATTTACTGTATCAGAGGAGTTTAATTCTTTATTATATCAGAAATGTATAAACGTCATGAAAAGCATGCTAATTCATTTATAATCATGCTCACAGCATTGTGTTACGCTCAAAATACAGAGAAATGTAATGTTGTTATTTAATCTGTTTTAACACAGCAATGCATATCTGACACGTAAGAGTTTTGAAGTAACAGCTGAATATTATTAGTGTTAATCATTTTTTGTTAAATGCTAACTCTTGTGTAAAATTTGTTAGAGTTAACACATATATATGTTTCAAATCAAACATGCATATATTAACATCAATTTCAATAGTCTTAGTGTATTTTGTTAACATTTGTTTTGATTCCTGCAAATGATAACTATTATTACTCTTGTAATTTATCATTCCTAGATTACTTAATTTGATATGAAATCTGACCATTAATGCTCCTGAATAATTTCCTATTATTGCATTATGTATTAATTTCTCAGATTTTCAAAGAGAATCCTATGTTATGTGTGATTTTATCGCAACAAATTATTTTATATACAATGATATATATATCTTACCTGAGGGGCTACCTGGTCTTAGACCAGCACCATTAGTTTGTATTGTTTGAACTGGACTTGGTGGACGTTGTGATATCGGTGGTTCCAGAATATCACGATATTTTGATACCATTAGTACAGAGATGAAGTAAACTATAGCGAGGGACAGAAACTGGGCCTGCTTGGTTTCTTCCTAAAACGAGAATCAGACATGCTTATTACCTATCCATGTACAACCTTACATTTCTTTAATTCATTAACTAATTCCAATATACTTACAACATCTCTGTATATCACAGCTCTTAAACGATTCACATCCATATCTTGCAGCAATTTTTCGGGGTCTTTTACAGGACTTAATTGATGAGCCAGATTATCCACTATGTTCTAAAAAAATAGAAACTTATTTTTATTTTACCGCGAACAATTAATATCGATAGTCACTGAGAATGCTATTTTCTATATGACATGGCTTTGGGTACACAATGCGTGTAATTTATTCAGCATCGATGACAGTAAATACATTTGTCTATATAAATTAAGTTCGATCAGATGAAACATACCTTGGGTGATGTTTGAGCTCCTCGTATGAGAGACTGTATGTGCTGTGATTTATTACTAGTACCAATCTGCCGACCTAACATGCTGTACGGTCTGCCACGTTCTTTACACTCTAAGCAGTTTCTAACGGCACATGTACAGACCTATAGAAGCATTTCATCAGATGAATATAACAAAAAAACATTGTGTAAACGTACATGTTGAAGTTCTATGTTGTACATATAGAGAAACTAAAAATATTACAACTATTTAACACACTGCCGAATTAAAATCTATTTCTATTGATAAGAGTATGTTTCTGGACTACCATAGTGTCAGGATGTTTGGGAGAATTGTAATAATGATTTTACTCTCTCTGTTTAAAGCGTGTGATTTTCATTGAATTAGATAAGTTTACCCTCGACAGGAATTAAATTAAGTGATGTTTTATGAGTTTCAGAGGTTCATTAGGTTCTCTTATGTGGTATTTTACTATGAAACACATCAATATATACACACATGTAAAACAGTTTACAACTATATGATTTTTCTATGATGAACCTAGTTCAGATACATCTTGTCTTTCATGCAAAAGATAACAGAGATAACGAAAACATACATGCTGAAAGACAAGATCAATCCATCAGTGCTGTTTGGGTAATTAGTAATAGATTTCATTTATCGTAAAGTGCATCAGCATAATGAATCTAATTAGTATGCATCTTCTTTCGATCTATGAATGTTCCGGGATCTTTCAATGAATTTTATCAGCTATATCGCAAAAATTACAAAGATTGAGTATTAGAGAGCTGGAATCGTGTTATGTGGTAGTGTGTCTGTTTTGAAAAAGAAAATTAAAATACTACGTGGACGATAATACAAACCAGTCGTAAACACTGCCTTAGAATACCGCCACTAGACATATTCTTCTCAGCCTCCAGTTCACCGAAATTTAAAGAGCTGGCGAAGATAAGTACATCAGCCATGTTGACTAGTCTTTGCAGAAAAGAAACTGCTACTTCAATTGGCATCCCCTGAGTTGGTTCAATTACATCCAATTCGCTCTATGAATATCCAAGCACCAATTAAAAAAAGGATTCCGTGAAAATGAACTTTCACCCGGATATGCTGTTCTATCTGATAATTGAAAATAAGAAACTCGGAGAAAAGTTATACGTACATTCGGCGAGGTAGCCGATGCTAGAAGCGGCAATAATCCTCCGCAGGCAATTATAAGATTGTCAGCCAGTTGGGAAATTAGATGAACGGTATTAACAACAAAAATCGCGTTTTCACTGCTGTTTACAAAGTCCAACACTGATTTCGTTGAATGGCTAAAACATAGATCATATAGAAACATTTTCAATCTCTTCAGACATTAAATCCTACTTAATGGAATGTTATTTGCATACCTTCTCCAGACTTGAATATCCGTTTCTAACGAGAAAAGAACATCCGAGAGTAATCTCTGATGTATGTAAGACCATTTGAATTCTGGTATTCTGAAAGGAGGTCGAGTCGGTCCTGGACTAAACATTGGTCTCGTAGAAGGATTACCTTGTTTTGATCGTTTTGTTTCTAAAACAATAATAATCGTAAATACTCGGGATACACATAGAAGTATGTATACTTTTGGAATAGCCATTGGTACCATTTGAAAAATTCTCAAGTTCTTACCGAAATGATTGGGATCCACTTGTGTGGAAGTTGAGGCACTCCTTGGTCGTTTCTGGGGTGACGATGTTTTTCGCAAGGGTACAGGTAAAGAAGGAGGTTCGTTATTGTTACTGTTAACATTATCTTCGTTGGCTGTCTCGGTAGGTACAGCCGGTAAACTGGATCTGCGATGGGTATCTACGTGATCTGGAGTCAAGTCATTCAACAACGAATTATCCCTGGTAACCACTGTAGAACTAACGATTTGAGGCACACCGTCGGGCATATTTGTATTAGCATCACAGACCGTAGATATTGTTGGAATTTGCTGTTTAGGATTTGGCACTTGCGTCACATTATCTACAGAACTTTGAACATCGCTATTACTACAAACACTATCTGTTACCTCTACCTCGGTCTCAGTTCTCACCGGAATGTCTGACTGATTATCACTTACGTTAGTAGAAATAGTGGACGGCTCCCTTGAATGTTTCTCAATTACCTTCTCATCGTTATCATTAATAACAGCACTTTCGTCCTCTGTCACAGAGTCCACCGCGCATTTCTCACTACTTAACTCACTACTCGCTACTACTGATTCCACTTTCTTCTCTTCTACATCTACCTTCTCCTCACATGTTTCCGTATTTTCTATTACGCTAGTTGAGCAATTGGGATTCTTTACAGTTTCCTCGTTATCATTTTCCTTATTCTCATCCTTCACTGTCGTACTCTTCGTGTCTTCGGCATCCTCAACCATATTGTCTTCGATCTTCTCAGTTTCCAATACCTTGGACTTCATTTCGCTTAAGTTGTCTTGGTTCTCCGTTGGTGTTAAGTACGCTTCTGAAGTGTCGCTGTCGATTATTTCCCGATCGTTCTCCAATTGCAGTTTCTCGATATCTTTGATGATCAACGGTTCCGGTGTTTCGCCAGGGGATGCGCTCGGTATATTCTCCGAATCAACCGATTCCGTTGAAGCGACAACGTCTGTCGAGCTTTCATCAGTTGCTGCAGCTTTCTCAGAATCTACTTCCGTATTAGAGGGAACGTCGTCATTGAGAGGAACGTCGTCTGCTGCTTCAGACTTTTCTTTGCTCGTCTCTTCGTCCTTCGTTTCGGTAGAAGAAGCTTCGGTGTCTTCCTTTGCTTGTGCAGTGTCAGAAGTGTTATCAGCCACGTTTGCGTTCTCTTTGGGCGTTGATTTCTCCTCTGGCACAGCATCTTCCTGTTCAGCCTGTACGTTTTCTTCCGTCTGCTTAGCAGAAGCCGATTCAGACACGGTGTCTTCCTCTTTCTGTTCTGATGGCTCCTCGTCCTTCTTCAATACCTCCTGTACCGTCATCGAATCCGGGCTGGAACTATCGATTTTGTGCACCTCGCTGTAGAAATCGCTGGAACTCTCGATCGATATCGCTTCGCTGGTCTCCTGCGTGGTCGGCACGGAAGCAGCCTCGCTGTTACCTTCCTCGAGGATCGTCGGTGTGTCCGTGTGAACTTCGCGCGCAGTGGTCGGTGTTTCCGGTTTGTCGCTCAGTCTAGAGTCCAGGGATATCGCTTCGCTCGATTGCGGGGTGTCCAGCGTTTCGCTGTTCGATTTCACGATCGCTGGACTACCGTCACTCTCGGTGTTGTCTATCGAGTTCAAGTCACAGCTGCACGATTCTTCCAGTCGATCGTTTCCCTCGGCTGCGTCGAATTCCTATGGGTGAGATCGATATTCGAGTTCACAAAGTATACTAAATCTACTTAAGGAGTTATAATTTGATATCGAACCTTATAGTTCCTCTCTACGTGTTGTACGTCGTGGTTCTGTTGATTGCCCCACGGCGATGGTTTATTATACCCATTATTCCCCGAATGCTGCTGATCCCAACCAGAGATAGTACTGATCGGCCTCTGTTGTCTTAACTCGGGATCCGTGATGTTATCTGATCGTTGCCTCTCGTAATGTTCATACATCTGGGCGAACTGGAGCTTGAATTCTTCGTAGGATACCTGAACAGTCGGGACTCGACGTGTTAACACAGGATACCTAATATGGTAAATATATATTTACCTTGGAATGGACGATTGCCAAAGTGTCCACCCACACGCGCCACCCACCGTACTCGTGTTTAATAGCGTGATGCAGAAGCATTCGAAACAACGAGTACACCATGTCCGAAATCTTCTGTTCCTCCGTGTTCTTTGGATGAATGTAAGCCATTGCTATCAGCCACTCTTGCCACACAGACATCTGTAGAACGGTTCGTCGATTTTCGCGATTGTTGTTGCATAATAGTGTCATGTCCGAGAGAAACAACTTCTTCACCTCCAACAGTTGTTCCGTTTGCTTTGATTGTCGAATCAGCGTCGCTACTACTTTAAGTATCACTGAAAATATAAATGTGATAAATATTACCATCTCGCATGGAAACATTTTTTAAATGAAAAATCATTTATTTGACGACTTACTTGGATTTTCCAAACGATAATGAGATTCTGGCTCGGGGTGTCTGACGTAGAGGATCTGTTGACTAATGTGTTCCGTCATGATCTGAAAATCGAACGAACACATGGATGTTATTGAAGAGAATCGAATATAAAATGATTGACCGACGGATTAATTAGGGTACCTCGTATAAAACATTGTACGTTGGTAACGACAGTGTCTCTTCGTTCAGCAACAACCTTTCGGCAAGTAACGTGTACAGATTATGAGGGCTCATGACGTCGTATTTTCGTCTGTAATTGAAACAGTCTTGTAGCACGTATAAATTGTCAATTAATTTGTACGGTTTGTTCACGTACTTGTGCGTGCTACGGCTCAAGAAGAATCCCAACAACTTCAATGCCTGTAGACGTATCAATTGACTTTCTGCAGCAAGCAATTTAAAGATCGTTCTGACGCCTTGTTTCGCGTCGAAAGCAGGCACCATCGACGATGGGTGTTCAGACATTAACGATATAAGCATTTGCAGAACGTCGTGCAAATTTTCATCCTATAGAAAGAAACGAAACGTTGAAGTATCATTCATGATTAACTGTAGCAGTTTCGAGGGAGGGATGAAATTTACCTCGTGTATCGTCGTCAGATAATTAAGAATACTCTGCAACTCGTCATCCTTCACTCCGTTCCCGATCATGATCAGTTGTTTCAGAAATAACAAAATATAAGAACGTATTGTCAAGATATCCTTCTGCTGTGGTCGTGGTCCGTCTGCAAATAACAATTCAAAATTCTTCTTAAAACGATCGAACTTCAACGCGTTAGATCCTTTTGACAAATTTCAAGATACTCACCGAGTCCTTTTGGAGTGATACCACTCTTGGCTCGTGGATTGGCAACCCAATAGTAGTATTTAAGCGTGTGTACCGTTTGTAATACTGTGGAGACTCTTCTTACGTTAGAATATATTTGCGTGTCACTGAGGAATTCTGTGGCCAAGTACGAATATAGCCGGGTTTGCACCGGGGCCGGCGTATATATCCACAGAGCAGGATTAAAAAGCACGTGATCCAATAGCTGCCATGTTAGGAATGAAAAGTAAAACAACTACATCACCATGGATCTGCCTGTTCTTCGGACACACCAATCTAGCCGACTTTTATGAATTCCTACGTCTGTCAACCTGTATCCTGTTCGGTTGTCTTTTTTTTTCTCTCTCCATCGATGGAGAACTTATACTCCAGAGAAATAAAAATATCGTACCGATTGTTGTGGCTTTTTATCGATACAAACGATGCATTTGTCGGGAACTTCGAGTGGGAGCTTTGATATTCGTAATTGTGCAAGGATACCGGTATAAAAAAACGTAAACGTAGGGTAATTCAAGGTATATATCAATAAATCCATCGTAATTATTGATGACAAATATCGGAAAGAAAAGTGGATTGAGGAGAACAGAGTGACACTTTATGTCGAACACTCATGCACCGAAATTAGCTTCGAAGGCAATATTGAGACAAAAGATGCGGGTAGGTAAGCGTGTTTCTTGGATCCTTTGATTATCTGGACGATTTTACCTTTTCTTCTGTATTTTTTATTATATTAACATATGTAAAGATTGCATGTGCTAATTTAGTTACTTTAGTACTTCCTATTAAATATAAAAAAATAACAAAAGATTGAGGATCATTTTTAGAAAGCTTACCTATCCATATCCTTCCAAAATTTACACAGAGATCGTAGGACCAATAAACGTGGAACATTTATCAAAATATCTTTTATAAATATTAGAAGTTCTTCTTTGTTTTTTATATGAAACACTCAAATCTTCCTTTCTTTCATGATTTAGCTGTTGATCGCGTACAGAGAATGTCCCAATATTCGATTGAATTGTGCATAGAAAAACAAAAGTAGCTCTGTCAAAGGCGATAGGCATCCTCGATAGAATATAAAGCGAAGTATTAGAAGTTTCAACAAAGACAGTATCTTCGTGGTACGCTTTCTTTTTTCCGTAGCATTAACGCGGATAGAAAAGATTAGTCACAGCAAAGAGAATGTTTATCAGCGTTGCAAAATAATAGATAGATAGTTTTCAATATGGAAGCGATTTAACGGGAACAAAAATATGTTGCGTAGCCATATTATGAAATCAGGAAGCCTAAAAGTCGGTAGATTGCATGCGATCCAAAGATATTTCATTAACACAATATCATTTATGAAGAGAGTACCAGTCATGCTTGAACGGATCATACTAATTTACGAACAAAAATACATTATAAATAGCATATTAACATTCCGAGCATCTACGAGCGATCGTTTTTCCTCGTACAAGCTAATGCAACAAATATAGATAGGTATTTATACAGAAAAAAATAATACGATATAAGATAATCTTTTTGCTCATGCTATTATACATATTGATAATGACTGTATTGCGAGTAAGATAAAACAAAGGGTATGGAATAAAGGGGATTAAAATAAAAATGTATATCCACAGATGAATTATCTCTCATGAGAAATTTGCTAAAAGGTTTCAGTAAACATGAATATGAACTACTCTGCGAGGTACAAATCCTAATGACCTAATATGATTTTTTGGCTATATGATTATTAACAGTGACAGGATACTGATATAATTAAGTGATTCAATTAAATTAGCATCTATGCTACTAGTTAAGATAATTCATCAAATTTTTTTTTTCATTAGACGTAATTTTTCAAAGATGTAATTATCTTAACTCATTTGATAAATGATATAAATGTAGTTTAGGTATTTTTACAATGTATATTTAGATCAATTATTCTCTACCATTTTCGTGCAAGCTAAATTTTTTTGTTTACTAATCTACTTGGACTTTCTTCAATTTCAATGATTTCTCTTCAATTTTACATTCTATCCTACATTTAATCAAGTTATTTAATTCTAATCGATGTCTAATTCTAATTCGTATAAAAATCGAACTAATGACTTAATCGATACCTGTTTCAATAACAAATCGCTGTTGGCGCTCAGACAGGTGACCAAGTGTTTGGTGAGTTCCAAGAAAGATGCGAGAACTTCCGTGGTAAGGTGGTCTCTACTCGCTCTCTGGAGCATGTAGCTTATTACCAAAAATCCCCTGTTTTGCACCATATGTTGCTGTACGGTTTGCGAACTTTCCACCAGATCGCAGATAAACCCCAACAGTTTCGAACTAGAATTTAAACTCCCGTTACGTGACGCTGCATCGAGAAGTTTTTCGTTTGCTATGTAAAGCTATTTACCATAAGGTAGGATCTCGCTTAACGTCGTTCGGCGCTATGCAATCGTATGGCATATCTAGTTGCGAGAACAAAGGGAACAGCACTTGAATGCCACCGATAGAGTTCAATGTGCTGTGAATGGAATGGGTGATAACAGCTTTAACATCCTGTAAATCGATAATATAGTTAGTCTGGTTCAAAATCGCCCTTTTACGAGTTGTTTTACGTGCACCCTGTTTACCTGCAGCATAAGGGCATGTGGTGTATGTACAAAGTAGGAAACGTTGCCTTTCGGTGCGCTTTGCAAACAAAGTTGCGAATCCGTTGCCACCGGGTTGTACATGAACACAATCGCGTTCGACAGCTTACCGTCGTAAAGCACCTATAAATCAACGTTGTTAATATCGTTCGTTTAGTTTTATAAATCGTTCCACCACCATAAGTCATAATTAATCTTTGAAAGTTCACCGAATTTCACCGAACAACATAGAGACCATGTTAACACGAGCTTTCAAAGTTTATCCACAACTATCAAACACGATAGCAGCATATTAAATGCACAAACGTGCAACACATCACAAAACAAACTCATTGTGAATTTAATACAAACAATCAATCGTTAAACTACTCTTCCAGACGATGTTCGTAATTTCTATGGGTTTAAAATCAATTCCAAATCCCAATTACCCATTGGTCGTACTGTCCATGGCGATAATTTCAATACGATTCAAATTAATCAATATGATACTGTGTATTACCACCAAATCTTTTGTATAGAGCATACACACACACATACAGTAGTAAAATACATCCTTTGCGAAGAATTAACTACTCAGGCAATAAATAAATTAATTCAGGTATCTTCTACCAGAAGAAAGCAACCAGGCAGACAAAACTGAACTCGTGGCTGGCAAAAGAACTAAGGTGGACACGAAAGAAAAAAAAATACATTAATAAACAAGCGATCGGTAGATACAAACTTATGTATCGCAGTTTCGATCCGTAAGTAACTCATGGTTCTGGGGAAAAGGTATTCGTAGTGATGCTTGATTATTCGGGTAATTACCTCTGATGAACTCGAACGCAGTAACAGAGTGATTAACAGTGTGCAAATTAAATGTAAACGGGGAGAAATGAAAATAAAAATGCTTACAGTTTGCATACTTTGGTCCACCATGCTCGCGAGCTCCGGCTCATCACTCACCCTTTTGTGATTGTCAGGCAGATTCAGGTAACACTCGTTGTCAAAACGAAACTGACTCTGTGAACAAAGTACACGATGAATATGTAACATGTTCGTGTAGCATCAAAGTGATTTTGCCTATGCAAATATTTCTTTGATCAGAAACATTGCCACAAAGATCAGAGACTTTTTCTAATTTTAAACAAAGGTCTTTCAAAAGAAATGGCAAACAATTGGAAAAATTAGAAAATTTTTAAGTAGTATTTCACGCAAAAATTTCAAATTCTTTTCTCTTTTTGTTAATGTACCTTATATCCAGGCCCCAATCTATGCATAGCGCAAATTTGATGCGTCGTCAGTGCTTCGCTGAACAGATATATGGCGCTCATTTGTCCGCAAAACACGCGCTCCTCATCCACTTCCGGAGTAGCTCCGATGTAACATTTGTCAAAGGGCTGCAAGAAATTTCCGGCGTGAATCTCACCAACAGGTACTTTGCAAAGATTCATTGTCGAGTAACCAGCCATTAGATATACTTATTTCTATCGCGTGAATTATAATGTTAATGGATGAAATATTGAACGGGTAAGTGAACTTACATCGTTTGTCGAAACGAACCACGCCATTTCTGTGCTCGAAGCCAATTGACCATTGACCAAACATTTAATTTCACTTTTCGTCCACCTATTATATATGTACACTACGGCGATCATGTACCACTGTGAACACAAAAGGTTATCGTATTGAAATTAAACGGATCTTTAATTGTGTTAAATACAGACGTACCTTTCGTGGTTGAAATTCGTATTTGACACAATGCTGGAAGCCCTTGCCCTTTACTTTCATAGAGGTGAGGACCAAGCAATTCCCTACGAAGTGTGCGGAATATCCTACTCCCTTGCTAGTTTTAAAACTGTAAGCAAAAAGTAACAAAAGCTTGGAAAACTAGGACAATTATGAAATTTCAAAACTTTTCCTTATTAACAACTCCAGTATATTTGGAGTGAATAAAACAAGTAAACTAAGATTAGTACACAACGAGAAATCGTAATTGCTGTAGAAAATAATTTATAAAAGTTTCCTAATAATGTCAAAATTAATTTGGATCGAGATAACGAGAAAATATGGAATTCTTTTTATACAAAAAAAAAAATGTTAAAGACAAATAAGCACATGAGCTCTGCGGAATTTTGTAATTATTAACGGATATTGGTTAAAATTCGGTGACGAAGGGCTCGTGGTCTGTTCCCTTTGTGTGCACCAATCGCTTTCAGCTCAGCATTTTATTTCTATAGACGACATAGCAACGTGTTTTGTAAATGGGAACAACGGTTGTACGGAAATCGAATTATTTCCGTGTGAAAGAGCGCGATCAAATTGGTGCGCGATCCGTCGTTCCAACAGTATCTTTTTTTTTGTTCGCTAGTCAGGGTGTGTTTAATCAAATTCGTACTTTCGATGGAAGAAATTCGAACTGCTCGTCATTTTTCTGCTTATTTCTTCGATGAAGGGTCAGTAACATAAATGATTCTTTAAGGTAACCAGCCACTTCGATTCGAGAGAGTGTTCTAGCGAGAGTACTTGATGTGAGAGCACTTACCAGTAGAGGTACGGCTTTTCTCGTTCGATATTAACGGAGTTGATGGGGTCCAAACGGAACCACGTGGTAAACGTGAATCCATTCTCGTGTGGCCACTTCGCGAGCGGCGGTAGGACGATAGCCTGAAACAATTAACGCATGAATATTTAAATAATTCAAGAAAAATTGAACAAAATTCAAAGATTAAACAATGCCAAAGCTTAGATTCGATTTTTGATTCTGGTTGAACCGAGCTTTTTCAATGTTCCTTCCTTTGATCGCGTTACTTAATCTTGTCATGTGGAAACTTTCTATTTGTGCTAGAACCCATTCGATAGATACAAATGTTTGTTGAAATGGACGACATCTGTTTCGATAGATTTCTTAGGCAAAGAATCCGGGTTTTTGTGATATTTCCATCTGCTTGCTCGTACAGGAAATGGATATCTGCTATTTCAATGCTAAAGTAAGGTCTGTTCCCATGTCGAGGTAATTCATTCAAACATTCCTCTTTGACATGAAACTTGCAAAGGTTCGATTTCATCCGAATATATTTTGATGGTTACAGTGAAAAAGAAATGAATTCATTGCAAACTTTTTAAAATTAACCAAACGTGAAAAAGAAATAAAGATTTTTAAGATTACTTTTAATGATCTTTTTTCTAATTTATTAATTAATCTCATATACGTATAAACAGTCGCAATATTACAATCGAATGCAAGTTAATTAAAAGCAGTTTGGAAAACCTTTTTAACCTTCGATCAAGGTTGAACTGCACCGCGCCGATAACTAGGAACTTTTCGAGCTAGGATAAGCCTAGCCGAAGAATCAATACGTCATTCGATTCGACGGATTAAGCGGGAAGCGGAAGTTCCGTAAAACAAGGCAAATTTTCTTATCGAAAGTTTAATAGAGTTCGGAATCGAGCGGCATCTTCGCGAAGATCGTGAACGAAGGGAAAGAGAACGAGGGGGATGACGAAAAGAGAGAAATCGACTTACCGATCCTTTTCTACCAGGAAAACTGAAAAACACGTCGGGTCCATTTCGTTGGGGCATTTGACGAAGAACGTTTAACAGTTTCGCCGAGTGTCGTGGCTGTGAAACAAACAAGAAGAGGATATAAATTTCTTATACCCTTATTACACTGTCGCAGTTGAAAAAGGAACAAGTTGTATTCCTATTAAAAGTTTTTCGTTTCTTCCGATCTAAGAACTGGACCGAGACAAAAAAGTTTCGTCGTTACGGATTCTTACCCATTTTCCTTTTACAGCTTTCATAGCACCGAACAAAAGTTTCAACTCTTTCACCGTTATACTGTAACTGGCCAACACTCCGAGCATATCGATCAGCAGATCTATAGAACAGAAAAAATTATGATCGTTTCGTATGAATTACGACCGACAGGATCTTGATTTAATTATGTGATAAGGATTTACCTGCGACAACGGTTTCGGCACGGGATAAACGATGTAACACGTGTTCTATGAGGCTTACGTCTGTACACGCCTGTAAATTCCGCACGCTTTTCCTCAAAATAGCGATGAAAACGCTCCATATTTCGGCCTGAAACAGAAACGCGTACAAAAGATATGAGACACTAAAAGAGATTTTCTTAAGTCTTTAATTTCCTTTAGAATTTCATTAAATTCCTTGGTAGATATTTTTCTTCCTGAAACGCTTATACTTTTATACAATATAAAAGAGAAGAATGAATATTTGTAAGTTCACTGATGACAAATATGTATCTAAAATTTTGAGAAATAATTACATGGATAAAATAATTGATAATTAACAGTGGGTGGTCAAAGGTTCCACGATAACATCGCTTCAGAAACGACAATTTCTAAGAAAATTCATCGACACGATGAAAACCGAGGAAAGCGAGGGAAGTTCAAAAGAATCGGACTCTACTTTAATTAAGCTACATTAGATGTGTTTGCTACAAAGGTTAGCCAGGGTGCTAATTAGAAATTCTTACGAACAAGATGTTCAACTTTGTTTTGGTGAGAAAGTAGAACCGAAAGGGGAATTCACTTTGTCACGCACCCTCGAGACCCACTCACTCTCTGTACAGTAAACTGGGTCTTTGACTCTAGCCTTCGACACCTTTGAGAAATTTTTGACTCCATGACCTACGGAAAGAAGTGAAGCGAAATACGAGAAACGCGTCGCAAGGCTTAACCCTCTTTCCAACGCTACAAACGTAACCCAGATTTCCTCGAATGCAATTATCCCCGAGAACGTCGATCCACGTTTCAAACTGATTTATCCCTCTCTCTGTTTCAATGAGATTCGCCATCGCTTACTGGGGAAGAATGAAGAACCGAACGGTTCAGAGGATATCTCTGTGATTAAGGAAGCGTACACTGATTTTTGGAACATTGATTAATTCCAAATTAGGGAACCCATTCATTATATAATATAGTGGTGAGTTCTCATGTATGCCAAACCTAGGACCTTATTTCTATATCGTAGTGAATGAAGTAAAGTAAAATTAATATTAATAATATTAATTGAATTACTCGTGGAGCCAAGATGTCCACAGTGATTATGTTAATACAATTCAAACACCAGTTGACTAGACGTTAAAAAACTCTACACACGACCTGCCACGATATAATATAATCCATCACGTGTTTCTTAGGTAATTAGCAGAGGCATGGCGATGAACGTTCGTTATAAATTGTGCACAGAAGTTTCGACCCTAAATTGCGTTCGGTAGCTGGCGGCGTTGGACGTTATAATGTACAAGGGGTGTAGCCAGCAACGATGGAACGTGTAATGAAGAGCTTAAACTGGAGTCTTTAATTTACTCTATAATTAACAATGAGAATGAAATTGAAGCTCATATACGACATTCGTCTTTCGTTTTCTTGAACGAATGAAAAAATTATACAATTACTCGTCGTGAAGGTTTTATCAAATATTTGATAAATTTAATATTTCGGTCTCGAATGGGAATTTCTTGTTCCACGTCTTCGGTATAGAAATAGTGTATGCTTTCAGTGGATTCAAAAAGAAAACGAGCGGGAGGATGAGGAAGAATGAGCATTAAGAGACACCAGAAGAATTCGAAGCGAGCAAACGTAATTACGTTGGATATCGAATTTATTCAATGGGTGTCTTCCGGTAATAATACAGAAGCATTATTTCCCTGCCCGATATTGTTATCGTGGCTCGTTTCGCGGACAGTGCACTGCAGCGTTGTGTATACTGCTGCATGTAGACGATAAAACATAATCGAAAACGAGATCCCATTTCTATAACACAGAATTCAGCGTCGAAGCGTAATGACGATGGAAGATTTATCGTACGCGATGGTACGCGATCGAAAATACATATTTCGACGTAATTAAATCCTTCGACCAAGTATTTACGCTCTATTTACGTGAATTTTTAATTAATGGACCCGGATATAGGATACAATTTATTTGATCAATCAAATTTATTGCAACGATCCTCGATGCTCTCGTAAAGTAGAAATTGAAATTTTTTACTTTGCAAAATTTTTGAGAGGATTATTATAAAAATAATATATAGTCTGCTAATTGAAACCTTGATTGCTTTTCGAATCATAAAAAGCAGATATTGATTTATGAAAAGCGTTTTTATCACAATTCTTTTACAATGTATTCCAGTTTTGTTTGTATGATACTTCGGTATGTTTGTTGATGTTTAATGATGCTTCACATATGGGTTGATTGATGTTGCAAAAATATGTCGCGAGTAGCTTAGTTGATATCTCGTGCAATCATGTTTTCCATGGGATCGCTCAATTTCGTTCCCCGCAACTTCGTCCATTTCACTCAGAGCATTAAAACGTACTTGCATGGCTGCCACCTACTTTTCAACAACCGTGTCGCGCTAAAAGCTACCATCGGTGCACCGCTTTTAAAGCTGATTGCGACACTGAACTGAGCTTATTCTTTCGATAAGTCAGTTGTATTTGACAGACGTCATTTCCCACGTCTCCTGTTTAAGAATACCCACGAGATTGCTTTATTAACCTTCGATATTGGCTGTACGCGATTTTATTAGTATCGCGAAAAGGTTCTTTTAATTTTCTTACAATTCGTTGGAATTTGACGTCTCTATTTAAAATGAAAATAAAAGAAAGATTGTTATTAAAATTATCGGAATTTTTAGCGTGTATTTTGATGAAATCTAATCCAGATTGTCATAATAATCAAAATTAGGTACTTGATAATTACAAGTTAAATTAATGATAGGTGGTTATTAAATGAAAGCAAATTAACATGGTTTTGATAGTTAATGATTCAGTCGATAATTGATCAGAATATTAAAGTTTATCACTGCTGAAATATAGTGGTAGTTAATAATAGAAATGAATCTTCCTGATGTTTATTTATTATTAAATCATAATATACAATGCACGAACGGATTGAAATAGTAGTATTGGTTGGTTAGTAATATATATTATTAAATACAATAGTAATATTTTACCTACCTTTCATAAATAAAATAGGAATTAACGCTTAATAAATTTAATCGAAGTTCCATGAATATTGTCGATTGCTTTTATTATAGCATAGATTTGGCTCATTTTTATATTCAAACACGTCTGGCTGAAAGGAGTATCGATTAATTATTCGTTATTCGAGTCGATAATTCTGTCTGATGGTAGCAATTGGATATCGAAAACCACGGAAGTATCGACTTTAGAAGGAAAATAAATGAAACTGAAGGGCCAGTCTCTCGACGTGGCTGCAAAACGGAGTTTTGTTAATTATATCGTTATAAAATCAGCAACCTTTATCCGGCTAGTCTCATTCCAGCATCGTTTTCGCTTTTAATCGAATTTTTCTCTCGCGTTTCATTTTCGATTCCTTCGCCAATACTGTCTCTTTCAGCTGATAAATTGAATCGGCGACGGCATCGTTGACATCTTATTTGAATCTCATTCCACTCGGTTCTATTTCCATCGCTTATAATCTTAAATCCACGATAATATTTCGTTTTCCTTTTAAAGTGATTGAAAACAATTTCGTCGATCATTGCCAATTTCATAGATTTTCCTCAAGTTCGACACTTTGCACGTCTTTTTCCTACATTTTCCATTTTGCAACATTGTTTCGAGAACGGACAGTGCTATCTAAATTTGCAACATTGTCGCAGCCCCGCGAATCGCGGTTTCTCGATTTGCAACATTGTCGCATACGTCAGGACCTCGAAATTTCTCGCTTAGCGACATTGCTGCGAGCCGCGATTTCTCGATTTGCAACATTGTTGCGCGCGCCGGTCCCGGCAAAGCTCGTGTTTTGTACATTGTTGCGAACCACGAACCGCAATTTCTCGCGCTGCAACATTTTCGCGAAACGAGAATCTCGGAACTTCCGGCTTTGCAATATTGTTGTAGATGTAAGGAATGTAAATAATGCAAGGGATACTCAAGAGATAGAAAGGATAGGCCTCAACACCGCCTGCTTCTACTTATTCCCTTTATCGCCTTCGTCCGGAGCGTACGAAATCAAATATGTCCGGAATTCTGGTAACAAGAGCCGGAAGTCTTTCACAGTTCAGCTGATAAACGATTAACTTCGGGCGGAACATTCAAACTCCGTATCAGCTAACTGTGAATGCTGCACCACCCTTTACTTTCCCGTCGAATCCTAGATGCCCTTTGAACAATCGATGTGTGTAATGTGCCACGGATGTGAGTCATGAGGGTCCCTATCAAAGGGAATATCCTTTCACAAAGTACATACACAAGTAGAACTCAAGTTCCGTTTGACGGGGACACCAAAGATGTGTTTTCTCTTTACGGTGCTACCACCATGGTATTTAGAAATTCTACTAGCCACCAAGTTTCTTCGAATTTAATCGTATCCCCGTAGAAGGTAACTTTTAAGTTCTAACTTCTTTGCTTAAGTTGGATCATAGTAATACTTTCTTCCGAAATGGATTATAAATTTATAATACCTCATTTGCGCTTGAGGATTCTGCTCGCAGCGAAACTTGTCCGAATGTACTCGTTGGGGATGAAGTATCACTTCTCAACTTCATGGATTCTTTATTAAATTAGGTAAAGTAATATGTATTTCCTTTAAAGTATTACACATTTTATCGGTCAGGAAACTTTCTTAAATTTTATTAAGATACTCTAGAGCTTCTTCATTTTCCTTCTTTTGAAACGTGGATCATAAATTTGTAATAGCTTATCTACACTTAGAAATTCTACTTCTCACGAAACTTCCTCCAACTTCTTCAGGGATAAAGTATCACTTCTTAGTTCGATAGTTACTTCACTTAAGATGGATTAAGTAATATTTTCTCTTTAAAACATGTCCCATACGTTTGGAAATTTTATCAATTACTTGTAAACTTCTTCGCTTACTTATAATATTCTTTTATTTCTTCAGAAAGTAGTTTGAGAAGCAGAGGTTTATGCGTATTAAAACTTGAAGAAGCACTTCCACGTTCGAATTTTAATTAAATCTCTCTCCGTTGAATTTTTCCAGTTTTCCAAATCGCTCGATTTAATGAATTCGTAGGGGCAATGTTTTGTATTTTTATTCCGCATGAATCATCTTACAATCCCGATT